CTCTGGGGCCAGCCCTTTCATTCCACACATCTTTACTGAGCACCCTAGGGTGCCCCAGGCCGTTCTGGGTGTCAGGCTGAGGAGACAGAGTAAGACACAGACAACGGAACAAACCTTGATCTCTGTGGGACATGCCAGGGCTAAGAATGAGGACAGTGGAGCTGGGGACAAGGACCAGATGGCAGGGCTGTCATTCTAAGTAGGACCATCTCAGCAGCAAAGACTAAAGGAAGGTGAGTGAACCCTGCAGCTAATCAGGCAGGCAAACAGAAGACCAGGCTGGGCAGACAGCCAGGGCAAGAAGCAAGGCCAGAAAGACCTTCAGGAAGCATCTGCAAAATACCGAGGCGGTGAGGGGCTGGAGCGGCACAAGAGGGCAAGGTGTGGGTGGTGGGAGACATGTCAGATGGGTGAGGGCAGATCCCATGTGGCCCAGTGCTGGAGCCCAGGAGAGCAGGCTAAGACTGGGGTACCATCCTGGCTACTGGGTGCTGCACAGACAACTGGGGAGTGGCAGGGAGTAGGGCACACTGACAAGGGTCCTGGAGTGACTCTGGACGTAGGAACCCAAAGGCCGGCAGGCCAGCTACAGAGATAATGCCCTCTGCATGGCCACACAGGGCGCTTCTCCACCCAGCTTCGAGAACAATGCAGCCCTCTCGGGGCGGGGGGGGGGGGGAGGGTGCTGAAAACTTGGAGGCCCTACCACAATGGCAGGATGCAGGGCACAGGACACATACCTTCCTTGGCACAGGCCAGGCCACCGGATCCCCCGCCAATCACCAGGAGATCATAGTCCTGCCGCCCTGCTGGGGAAAGGGGTGAGAGGTGAGTGGAAGGGCCAGGACAAGTCTGGGGCCCGGATCCCGCAAGGTGCCACACGATTTCCAAAGGGCAAGCAGCTCTGCCCAGTTAAATGTGGTATGGGATCTACATTATTGGAGCAAAGCCCCCAGCCCGTGATGGTCCGGGTGACAGCGCATCACACATCAGGGCAGAAGGCAACCACAGTATCCATCATCACGCAAACCCCGAAAGTAAGCAACGGCAGGTGAGGGTGGCCCAGGGTGCATAATCACCTTGACAGCAACAATCAGGTCAAGAAGAAGGTAATTTAACTGGCAGGACTGCTCTGAACTTAAACTTCACTGAACATTCTAAGCCAAGACATGGGATTAAAACACTTCTCGAGTCTGTCTTTCGGTTACAACAGTCACCTTTTGTTCTTTTTTTTTTTTTTTAAGATTTTATTTATTTATTTGAGAGAGAGAGAATGAGAGAGAGCACATGAGAGGGGTTAGGGTCAGAGGGAGAAGCAGACTCCCCGTCGAGCAGGGAGCCCGATGTGGGACTCAATCCAGGGACTCCAGGATCATGACCTGAGCCAAAGGCAGTCGCTTAACCAACTGAGCCACCCAGGCGCCCTTTTTGTTCTAAACGAGGAAAAATAAAAAGCAGTCCTTGCATCAGGCAGCACACCCTGGCCTCTCAGAGTGCCTGGTGCACTGCGGGCCCTGGGACAGAAGAGACTCTGAAATGCCTTTTGGGCTCACCATGGTGTCACCTCAGAGGCAACGCACTACCACACCCAGCACAGAGGGTCGCTCACATCCTTCCTGCCCTGCAGAAGACATTATCTGTCTCTCTTCAGCAAACTGCTGGGAAGGCAGGCAAGAGATAGCCTGAAAGGGGAAGGGGGTGGGGAGTGAGGGGGGGTAGGTGAGGAGCAGGTGTGTCCTTAGGTGTGACCAGGCGGTCAGAGCTCTGAGCCAGGGCCCAAGCCTGAGATACCCAGCACCAAGCACCGGCCCACTCCCTGTAGTGAAAGGAAGAAATAATAGAAAATCATCAGTATGTGGGGAGGGAGAGGAGGGTGCAGACTGCTGGATTGTGTCTAGAGCTGACCACAGCTCCTAGGCAAAGCACCTGGTCCCGTGATCCAATCCGGCTCTGCCACCCAAGGCCAGCGCGGCTGCCCCCACATCACCCTGGAGCCTGAGAAGTGAAAAGACTGTATCTGCCTTTGTGTCACCTTGACCTTCCTGGCGGGCAAGGCTGTAGAGAATACTCCTGAGGTCCTCTGACCCTCAGGGACCTCGGCTTTGTAGGTCCCTGTGCTCACAGACTGGGGCTCAGAAGCTGAGCTCCTGCAAGGACACAGGAGCTCCAGCCTAGAGGCGGCCCTGGCTTGGGGCTGACAAAGCTAGGGGAGTCGCCACCGGGAGCTGTGTCCAGATGCCCAGCTGGTGGCCTGCTGCTAGCCTGCCCTGTGGAGAGGCGTCACCGTACCCACCCCAAAGCCAGGCCCACCCCTGGCTTTGTACCCACCCCAGCCGAGGCCACCTGAGATGTGTGCCCAGGCAAACATGGGACCGAACGGAGCCAAGGCTTGGTTCAAACAGCCAGTCCAAAGGGGACTCAATTCCAAATTCAACCCAGGGGCTCTGAAGAGGCCTAAACTTTTGTCAGTTATTCTGGTGGCTTTGATATGAGCCCAAAGAACCAGAGACAGACTGCTGGTGGGAGAGAAGCAGCTGCTGGGCCCTGAGGAGCGCCTGCATCTCTCCTTTCCACTGCTCCGTGGTGGGGGAGGGGGACGCGAAGCTTTTGCCCAGGACAATGCGCTACCTTCCATTGCAGGTGCTGATGCTGGTCCTTCCTGCCGACAGAGCAGGGTCCCGGCTAGCTCCGACTGTCCCCAGCTCCACACTGTGTCCCCTCTGCCTGCTATCAGGCAGAGGGCAGGGCGAGCAACTGGCCATGTGGATTGCGAGCTTATCTCTGTGGGTTTGCCCTCCCCGCCTGCTGTGCATACCCAGGAGCCCTCTCAGTCGGATAAACACTTGGAAGAGTAACCTATCTCAAGGGCCAGTAAGGAGGATGAGGTGGGCGCTGCTCTGCGCGGGCTACCCGGGGACACATCACTCCAGTGCCCTGGGCAGTCTTCCAGCCTCCCCTTCCCCACCGCATGTTCAGAGCTCAGTTCCGGAAAGGTCTGTCTTCTCTTTGTTCTGAACCCATCGTCCTTTGATTGTCTGCTCCCCTCTGAACCGGGGGCCTGGCACCCAGCAAGTGTGGCAAGGCGGAGTGAATGGTGCGCTACTCCAGGGGCGCACGCGGAGCCTTTGCTGTGTGCTCACAGGCTCACTGACCACCCCAGGGAGCCACCCTGGGAGTCCTCTTGTACTGTCCTTCCCACCACGCATTCTTTCCTGGTAGCAGGTGTTAGGGGACAGGTGACACCACAGGTGGTATCATTCTGGTTCCTGTTCAGGAGTGGCATGGGCCACCCCCAAACCTGGGACGGTGCAGGTGCCTTCCTGCTCTCAGATGGAAAGCTGGGCTCAGATGGAAGAGGAGGCTCGGAATCAGCCCTGCGCATCCTTGTTGGGGGTTGGCGCTGTGCCCCGGCCCTGTCAGGCCCTCACCGCTGCAGCTAAGTAAGCTCTAGCCTTGGGGCTTCCTTCCCCTTGCTGCCCAAGGACCATGGGGGCAGAATCTTTGGTGCTGCCCTGCTGGGTACAAAAAGCTCCACCCCAAAGCCATCCTGTTCTGCTGCAAGGCCAAGGTTACAGTGGCCTGAAGGGCCCTGGACGGTGTAATGGCAGCAGCACCATCTTTTACTTGCATCAGATGGGGTGAGGGCCCCACCGCACAGCTGCATTTACCCTCACGAACGTCCCACCTGACTCACGCAGCAAGGATGCTTTCAAAGACTGGGTGCCTTGGGGGCACCTGGGTGGCTCAGTCGTTAAGCGTCTGCCTTTGGCTCAGGTCATGATTCCAGGGTCCTGGGATCGAGCCCCACATCGGGCTCCCTGCTCTGCGGGAAGCCTGCTTCTCCCTCTCACACTCCCCCTGCTTGTGTTCCCTCTCTCGCTCTCTCTCTCTGTCAAGTAAATAAAATCTTTAAAAAAAAAAAAAAAGAGTGGGTGCTTTGACCAAGGTCTCAGGGGTCAGCAAAGCTGCCCTAAGAGCAACCCTATCTCCCCATTTCCCAGGACTCTGCAGGCCCGAGGCTCCCCAAGGCCACAGCGGCACACAGCTTTGCCCTTCCACATCCGCTGTCAGCTTCTTTCCACTGCTGGCCAAGCGCCCTGCCACTCCCCTCACAGCCACCATCTCTGTGATGGAAGCCTCGTCCCTCCCTTGCTCAGGCCCCTCAACACTCCTCCCCATGGGGAGTCATCCAGGGGCAAGGGGTAGGGGTCGGTCACTGAGCAGGCATGTGGTGGGGAGCACGTCATCACGTGTGGGGCTGGCCATGTCACCATGGCAAATGTGGTGGCACTGTGACTAGCTCTGGGGAGCCCGTCCTGCAGGGTTGGGCATATGACCCAGCACCCAGTCCCTGTTCCGGAGCCTGGCACCACCCCCTGTGCCTGGTTTGGTTGGTGATCCTTGGTGGCTCCAGGAGGACAAGCCCGGGTACTGTCCCCTGCCTCGGGGCACCCGCGAAGCACTGCAAACAGGGAGTGCTCACTGCCCATCAGTTTACAAGCGTCCCCTCAGAGTCTATGCAGTGTATGTGCTGAGCACCTGCTGTGTGTGCCCACTGGGTTCGCGGGGAGGAGGTGGCCAGGTCTGACTAGTGGGGTCTGCAGGTGATGGCGTCTGGTAACCTCAGGAGGTGAGCCACCACCCCCATCATCAGGACTATTGTTAATCTTGGGCCGGGGGCTGGGGCAGCGAGCACAGATCATCCCCCCCGCCCCCGCAGAACCTCCGGCGGGGTCCCGCAGCTCTTTCCCCATCTGGAAAGGGGGCTAGGGGTGGGTGGAAGCCGGCAGACGGCGGTCCCAGCCAAGTGCTGCCCGCGGGGACACCCCCACGTGGACAACCCCTGGCGGGGACCCCCCGCCCCGCGCAGAGAGCCCCCGCCCCGCCCCGCCCTACCTGCTGCGCTCGGCGCCGCGCCCCGCGCCGCGCCCCGCACCCCGCCCGCCGCCGCCGCCGCCGCCGCCGCCGCCGCCCAGGTCCGCCACCGGAAGCGCCCGCCCGCTCCCCGCAGCGCAGCCGCCATCACAGCCCTCGCCGCGCGGGGCCTCTCCTGCGCCCGGGCTGTCCGCCGCGCTGCCTGCGCCGGCCCTGGGCGGGTCCTCCAGATCAAGGACGCCGCAGCCCGCCGAGGGCGAGGTGAGAGCGCAGGCGGGTCGCGGGGATCCGGCCTGGGGTGGGGGCTCCGGGCCTGGGGTGGATCTGATCCGGGCTGGGTGGGTGGGTCTCCGAACTTGGGGTAGAGCTGATCCAGGGTTGGGGGGGTCTCCGGACCTGGGGTGCATCTGATCGGGGTGGGAGTCTGCGGACCTGGGGTGGATCTGATCCGGGCTGGGGGGTCTCCCGACCTGGGGCGGATCTGATCCGGGGTGGGGGTCTCCCGACCTGGGGTGGATCTGATCCGGGGTGGGGGATCTGGGGATCTGTCCTAGGGTGAGGAGCTGCGGATGCGGGGTGGGAAATTAGAACCCGTGTGAAAGGATCCGACCTTGGGTGGGAGTCTCTGGACAGAAAGGAAGGGGCTGGGATACCAGACTGGGTTGAGGAAGTGGGAGATCTGTGTTGGAGTGGGAAGATCCGACTTGGGGATAGGGTTCCGGACAAGGGTAGGTGATCCAGCCTCCTGTGGGGACCCATACCCTCAGGTGGGGGCTGTCTCTTGGGGGGGGCTTTGACTTGATGGGCTTTCAGGGTCAGGGCCTGACTCGCTAAGGGAGGGTCACACTTGGTCTTTGAGCAGGGATCAGACGCTTGGGAGTGGGAGAATTGTGGGCATCCAGGCCCTGAGGGGCTCAGTGATCTTTCCAACAAGTTTTCCCCTGGGAAGGGAAACTTTTCCAGGGGAAAACTTGGGGTATTGCCAGGCTTTTCCTTTCAGGGGAATGACTGCCACACCAGAAAGGAAAGTGACTAGAGCCCAACACCCCACAGGACTGGGTCTGGGTGGTGTGGCCTCATACCGACGTGAGAATGTTGAGAAAGAGAAAGTCACCCCAGATTGGACCTGATTTACCTGTCAAGAGCTGAGTTCCATTCGCATTTGTTCAGAGGCACTTTTAAAGGGAGAGTGAGTGTGTGGGGGGATGGGAATGACAGGACTTGAGTGAGTCAGGGAAGTGAGAAATTACAAAATTGGGAAGAGGTGGTTTGTCCATGTGACACCCATCTGGATATACTAAGTGATGCTTATGGAAGTTAGGCTTCCCTGCTTCTACAGAGGCTGGGAGATGAAGCCATATCCTCAGGTGTTGGCTGAAACAATCATTTCTTTTGGAACCCTTGAGTTTTCTCTGTCGTGCCACCTAAAGTCATCCTAAGGATGCAGCCCTTGAGCTGATAGACACTAGTGTTTGTTCAAGTCTTTATAGGCCAAGGTTGAGACCTAATTGAGAATTCTCAAGGCTCAGAGGAGCCTGGATAGAGTATGGTCAAGGAGAGAATCTTCGGCAGGTCCTCCTCTTGTTGAAGGAAAGAAGAGATGTTCTGTCTGCTGAATAATAGAAGCCTGTTTTCCATTTGATCACCTTTTGTTGAACCAACTGTTGGGACTTGGTAGTAGAGGATATTTGCTGGATGATTCCAGTGATCAGGCATTTAATGAGGGACCTTTCTATGGAAACAGAAAGGAAAGCGAAGATTAATGGTCAGAGCTGAACGTAAACCTGGTTTTTGATCCCTATGGGTGGCCAGTTGGGACGAGTTTAGACATTGATGTGTGAACATCTCTAGGTTATGGGGTGAGGACCAATCCAATGGATTTCCCAGTTTGTAGTTTGAGTGTTTGTGGTGATAGTATAGACAGAAGTGTCACAGTCAAGGTTATTTCCCAGAACAGAGCATGGAAGATGTGGGAGTTCCCATGGGCTGGGAGTGGCCCATGCAGCTGCAGTTCCAGGAATGAAGGCGGGCACACAAAATTTGTTGCGATGATGAGCTCCTTGAAGGTTTTATCAAGTTCATGTGGGGCTTTTTCAGATCCTGGAGGAAAAGGGGCAGGAACAAGATAACCGGAGTCCCAGGAAGGGTCTGGGTAGTCAGATTTTAGTTCTCAGTGATGCCAAGTCAGGAGGGAAGGAGGAAAAATTGGAAACATCAATTTGGAGAGTTGTAGCCAGATACTGAAGGAAACTAGAAGAACTGAGGGTTTGGTAAGGGCTGACAAAACGTGTAAGATGGCAGGATGGTAGTCCCAGTCACAGGTAGTATAGTAAAACCTTGAACACAATAAGCAGGATTAGAATCAGATAACCTACAAGGGTGTATTATTTTTCCCCATTGAGACATAACATTTCCCTCTAGAGCCATCTCCCTTTTTGATCAAAGATAATCAAAGGAAGGGGTGTCTGGATGGCTCAGTTAAGTGTCCGACTCTTGATTTCGTCCCAGGTTGTGATCTCCGGGTTGTGGGATCCAGCCCGGTGTCGGGCGCCATGCTCAGCGGGGAGTCTACTCTCTCTCCCGACCCCTCCTCTGCCTCCAACCCCCACTTGTGTGTGCTCGCACACTCTCTCTTTCAAATAAATAAATATATCTTTTTTTAAAAAAAACGATAGTCAAAGGAAGATTATTCTTGTTTACAAAATAATTCTGGTCTCATTAAATTTGGCCTGATTATTTACATAAGTGCAGCAAAAATGGCAATTGACCACATAGACCTTGTTAAGTTTGCTTTGTGGAACTTTTTATGGGGAATCTCAGATTGGAATTTTAAAAGCCTTTCAAGGCTAGGAAGCCAAAGCAAGAACTTGCCATCAGACTTCACCTGTAGATTTGGGTGAATTCCTCTCTTCTCAAGGTCCCCCAAATATCTTAGGGTTCCTGGGTCTGCCAGGAAGTGACCTTCCTTACTCACCTGTAAGGCTGGGAATCTCTGTAAGCCATGTACCAGGCTAGTTTTTTCGAGAGGGCTTCGTAAGCATTGCTCCTTGTAAAGTCGACTGCAGTTCCTCAAAACCTTCTGGTCATGTCTGATACCATGCATCATTTTCAAATATGACATTCCTTGGTTATATAACCAGTGCTTTAAAATTATGTCCTATTGCAAAGAGGACAGATTCTTATTGAACCTATGTAAATAACTATATTGCCATGAAAATAAGAATACTCAACAATAGTTTCCAATTTTTGGAGGAATCAAGCAGGGAGAAGAAGATAAATGCTTCAGTTTTGTTTACAAAAGTGTAACTTGCTAGAGTGGGATGACTCACAGATAGCTTAAGAGAAAAAAAGAAAGGGTGTTTTTTTATATCCAGAAAATGAAACACTAATGAGCCAAGAATATTCCAGACAAAAGCCATATAAAATTATAATCATCTTTTATCAGTTCATCCAGTTCTATTTAGTTAATTCTTGTCTAGTTTCACAAGCCCATAGGTTTCTCCACTAGAGTTCTGAAGCCCCTTACTCAGTCCCATGGGATGATCTCAAGAGTTACTGAAGCAAGGCCAGTGGAAGTCTGTACCTCAGGTACCTGTCATAGTCCTTTCCATGGGTCTCGGAGATAGTCTCTTTCTGTTGAAGACAAAGCACTCTGGCCTGTAGCTGATGGCAAATGCTTTTGAAGAAGAATCAGAGCAAAACAAAAACTATCTGTGGGTAACAAAGACTTAAAATGGCCAGGAGTTAAAGATTTGGTGGGAGTCCCTTATAAAAATAACACAATTGACAAGGAAACTTGATTGTTTCTGTAACATACACACCATTTAAAGTATTAACTGGAATGATGACTGATAACAGTATACCAGAATATTGCATGGTCAGTGAGGGCACTCACAAATTTATAGGAACTTTATGTAAATTCTGACATCCTGATACTAATAACATCAACTCACAAATATAACTTTTGGAAGGTTAAGCAGCATGTCTTAATTTGACAATGACTTTCATGAAATCCAGCGTGTCAATTAAAACGACGTTTAACTCATCTCTTTTATGAGGTGAAAAAACAAACCCTTTGAGATCTTCCAGAGGCCTTCTGGGAAATCCCAAAGCCAGTTTGAAATCAAGAAAATAACTTCATTTAGGATTTGATTTGGGGAAGGCAGAGTTGTCAGAAATATCGAAAGGTGTGAATGCCTGGGTAAATAGGATCCCAGTTTACTGTGGAACAATTTTTTGGTTATTTACCTAACCTAAGTGACAATATAAGAGTTCATAAATAAACATAGGAGATAACATGATTGTTTAAAAAGAAACTACTTGGCTCTTTTGCCAGTGAGAAGACTAGATTATCTTATGTAATCAAGGACATGGTAATGACAACATGAAACACAGAAAATTATTTTGATAGGAGAGAATCTTTGTTTCCACAAAAGGGAAATGTTGGTAAAGATTACTCAAAGGGTAAAGAAAAACCTTTCATAATCTCTTGTTAAAAGCAGACCAGTAATCCAAGAAGTTTTGTTGCTTTAGCAGAGAGAAAACCAAACTCTAGTTTTACATTAGTATGTTACTGATAGTAAAGCTTATTTCAAAAACTTTATATATAAATCCATTTAATCTTAGCCAGCTTTGACCTACAACTTCCTATATCCATTCAGGTTCTTGTCCTATACTTTCCCTTTTTGAAAATGTAACCCTAGGATACTTCTTTCCTTAACAAAAACAAATCCTACATTCTTTGCATACTTTTCATGTGAAACACATGCTATTTTCCTCAAATTCTTTGTATGCAAAGTTGTTTCGCTTCGCCTTGTTTGTAGTAGTTGTTTTATTTTCATATACTGATTATAATTTTTAGCCATTCGCCACCTTTATTTTACAGAGAAAACTAGGAAGTAGATAATTATGAATCATCAGTCATACACCAGTATTCTGTAACAGATTAGCAAATTTTATGAGTATGCCGTGTCATAATCTATAGAGGTATATACTCTGAATAGTACAAATATATCTTTTTAATATTTTATTTATTTATTTGAGATAGAGGGAGAGCAAGAAACAGCACGAGCAGGGGGAGGGGCAGAGGAAGAGGGAGAAGCAAGCTCCCTGCTGAGCAGGGAGCCTGATGGAAGGGGGAAGACAAATAATCTGTCTTAGGACCTCAGGATTAGGACCTGAGCCGAAGGTAGATGCTTAAGCATCTACCCAGGCGCCCTAAAACTTAAACTATAATTAATAATGAGTGTTTCAGCACTTTA